CATAGAGTATATAGAGAGGGCCTAAGACCTGCCCCTTTGGAAAATAATTGAGCATTCACGCTCTACACAATAATAAAACATGTAGAGAAGTTAGATCATTGTACATTGCTAGGAAGAACATAAAAAGTAGAGCCCCTTTGGAAAAATAATTTTCAGTACCCCAATAATATTAATCAGGGCTGAGGGTGCTGCTCAGTGGCAGACAGCTCACCAAGCATGTGTGAGACCCTGGGTTCAACCCTAAATGTTCACACTAAAACTTGCCCCTTATTGTCCATAGCAGCACTAGTCATAGTGGCAGACAGCTCACCAAGCATGTGTGAGACCCTGGGTTCAACCCTAAATGTGCCCCTTATTGAACCTAGTCAAATGTTCATTGAGTGATGAGAAGATTTTAAAAAAGTGTGATATAGCTCTAAAGTGTAATGTTTTAACAATGGAAAAGAATAGAAGTACTAATATATTTTTACCAGAGCCAAGTCTTGGCTGCTTGCCTTTCAAAAGCCAGTAGTCTGAGATGAGAAATGGTAAAAGGGTTCATTCCAAGGCCAGCACCCTGGAAGACAGAGGGGTCTACCATCCTCTAAGTTCCATCCTTGGAACTCAGGGACACAAAGGGCTTTTATAAGAAAGGAAAGGACAGACAGCGGGCAGGAAGGCTATGTGCTGAGAAGGGTTTCATCACCCTGGGCATGTCTCCTTTTTATGTCTGGCCAGAATATTGCAGTTGACCTCAATCTCTTGGGGAAGTTCCTATGTTGTCTTTAAAAGGATGTATTACTTTACTGCAAGTAAAGCTTCACACCAATTTACATGCTTTGTGTTAGTTGGTGCATATAACTCAAGATCAAGGAGAAGTCGTGTACTGTTTGATATTATCTGAAGGTCGCCTGATATTCTGTGTCCTATAAATCTAAAGAAAAATTGTTTAGCAGTGAACATCATTTAGTGTGGCATTTCTTTAGAACTTAAAATGCTGTGCAATGGAAGGGACAGAGTCCTTGCTAAAGATGTAAAGGAGGGGATGTAATTGTGTTGAAGGGGAAAGGGAAGGGAAGCAAAGGTAACTCTGCCTAGGACTCCTTCCCAAAGGAGCAGTGACTGCTGCAATCTTGTTCCAGGGGTTCTGAAACATAGACAGGAACTTGGACAGTTGCTGACAATCTCTAGCATAAT